GTATAAAACAAAACTACATGACAGACTCCTCGACCAATACTGATGAGACACCTCAACCAATCCTGATGTAGATATAAATAGAATCTACATGACAGGCACCTCGACCAATCCCGTTGTAGGTATAAATAGAATCTACATGACAGACACCTCGACCAATCCTGATGTAGGTATAAATAGAATCTATATGCAGGACACCTCGGCCAATCCTGATGTAGGTATAAATAGAATCTATATGCAGGACACCTCGACCAATCCTGATATAGATATATAAAACGAAACTACATGACAGACACCTCGACCAATCTTGATGTAGGTATAAAAAGAATCTACATGACAGACACCTCGACCAATACTGATGTAAATATAAATAGAATCTACATGACAGATACCTCGACCAATCCTGATGTAGATATAAATAGAATCTACATGACAGTCACCTCGACCAATCCTGATATAGGTATAAAACGAGGCCACATGCCAGACACCTCGACCAATCCTGATGTAGGTATAAAACGAAACTACATGACAGACACCTCAACCAATCCTGATGTAGATATAAATAGAATCTACATGACAGTCACCTCGACTAATCCTGATATAGGTATAAAACGAGGCCACATGCCAGACACCTTGACCAATCCTGATGTAGGTATAAAACGAAACTACATGACAGACACCTCGACCAATCTTGATGTAGGTATAAAAAGAATCTACATGACAGACACCTCGAACAATACTGATGTAAATATAAATAGAATCTACATGACACATGCCAGACACCTCGACCAATCCTGATGTAGATATAAATAGAATTTACATGACAGACACCTCAACCAATCCTGATGTAGGTTTAAATAGAATCTACATGCCAGACACCTCAACCAATCCTGATGTAGATATAAAAAGAATCTACATGACAGACACCTCAACCAATCCTGAAGTAGGTATAAATAGAATCTACATGACAGACACCTCAACCAATCCTGAAGTAGGTATAAATAGAATCTACATGACAGACACCTCGACCAATCCTGATGTAGATATAAATAGAATCGACATGACAGACACCTCGACCAATCCCGATGTATATGTATAAATAGAATCTACATGCCAGACACCTCGACCAATCCTGATGTAGGTATAAATAGAATCTACATGACAGACACCTCGACCAATCCTGATGTAGGTATAAATAGAATCTACATGACAGATACCTCGACCAATCCTGATGTAAATATAAATAGAATCTACATGACAGACACCTCGACCAATCCTGATGTAGGTATAAATAGAATCTACATGACAGACACCTCGACCAATCCTGATGTAGATATAAATAGAATCTACATGACAGACACCTCGACCAATCCTGATGTAGGTATAAATAGAATCTACATGACAGACACCTCGACCAATCCTGATGTAGATATAAATAGAATCTACATGACAGACACCTCGACCAATCCTGATGTAGGTATAAATAGAATCTACATGACAGACACCTCGACCAATCCTGATGTAGATATAAATAGAATCTACATGACAGACACCTCGACCAATCCTGATGTAGGTATAAATAGAATCTACATGACAGACACCTCGACCAATCCTGATGTAGATATAAATAGAATCTACATGACAGACACCTCGACCAATCCTGATGTAGGTATAAATAGAATCTACATGACAGACACCTCGACCAATCCTGATGTAGATATAAATAGAATCTACATGACAGACACCTCGACCAATCCTGATGTAGGTATAAATAGAATCTACATGACAGACACCTCGACCAATCCTGATGTAGATATAAATAGAATCTACATGACAGACACCTCGACCAATCCTGATGTAGGTATAAATAGAATCTACATGACAGACACCTCGACCAATCCTGATGTAGATATAAATAGAATCTACATGACAGACACCTCGACCAATCCTGATGTAGGTATAAATAGAATCTACATGACAGACACCTCGACCAATCCTGATGTAGATATAAATAGAATCTACATGACAGACACCTCGACCAATCCTGATGTAGGTATAAATAGAATCTACATGACAGACACCTCGACCAATCCTGATGTAGATATAAATAGAATCTACATGACAGACACCTCGACCAATCCTGATGTAGGTATAAATAGAATCTACATGACAGACACCTCGACCAATCCTGATGTAGATATAAATAGAATCTACATGACAGACACCTCGACCAATCCTGATGTAGGTATAAATAGAATCTACATGACAGACACCTCGACCAATCCTGATGTAGATATAAATAGAATCTACATGACAGACACCTCGACCAATCCTGATGTAGGTATAAATAGAATCTACATGACAGACACCTCGACCAATCCTGATGTAGATATAAATAGAATCTACATGACAGACACCTCGACCAATCCTGATGTAGGTATAAATAGAATCTACATGACAGACACCTCGACCAATCCTGATGTAGATATAAATAGAATCTACATGACAGACACCTCGACCAATCCTGATGTAGGTATAAATAGAATCTACATGACAGACACCTCGACCAATCCTGATGTAGATATAAATAGAATCTACATGACAGACACCTCGACCAATCCTGATGTAGGTATAAATAGAATCTACATGACAGACACCTCGACCAATCCTGATGTAGATATAAATAGAATCTACATGACAGACACCTCGACCAATCCTGATGTAGGTATAAATAGAATCTACATGACAGACACCTCGACCAATCCTGATGTAGATATAAATAGAATCTACATGACAGACACCTCGACCAATCCTGATGTAGGTATAAATAGAATCTACATGACAGACACCTCGACCAATCCTGATGTAGATATAAATAGAATCTACATGACAGACACCTCGACCAATCCTGATGTAGGTATAAATAGAATCTACATGACAGACACCTCGACCAATCCTGATGTAGATATAAATAGAATCTACATGACAGACACCTCGACCAATCCTGATGTAGGTATAAATAGAATCTACATGACAGACACCTCGACCAATCCTGATGTAGATATAAATAGAATCTACATGACAGACACCTCGACCAATCCTGATGTAGATATACATAGAATCTACATGACAGACACCTCGACCAATCCTGATGTAGGTATAAAACGAAACTACATGCCAGAGACCTCGACCAATCCTGATGTACAGTATATATAAATAGAATCTACATGACAGATACCTCGACCAATCCTGATGTAGATATAAATAGAATCTACATGACAGACACCTCGACCAATCCTGATGTAGGTATAAATAGATTCTACATGACAGAGACCGCGACCAATCCTGATGTAGGTATAAAACGAAAAATCCCTACCGTTCCTAGTTTAGATCTTATATGAAACTACATGACGAACATCTTGGCCGTTCCTTGTGTAGATAAAAATACAAAACCAGTTGAATTTGAGGGGCTTTTTGTTTTAGGGAGGTTTTGTGATCAGCCATGGAAAACTGTTCTATAAATTCAGTTTCACGTGAAAAGAAAAATATGAGTCGGCTAGAAAATGGGTCCAATTTGATACCATAGCAATGCCTACAGTTCTCATAAAAATCTTGCCACCAAACTGATCGAAGGTATTGTCAACCAGGGACTCATTTCATCCTCTGTTTAGGATGAAGTGATGTAGAGTAAAGTGAGGAAAGGTCAAATGTACTTACAGAGGAAACATTTTTGAGGAAAGGATGATCAAAAGCTCTCTTGAATTCTTCAAAATCTACATTCCATTGATTCGACTTCTTGAGTATACATTGTAACAATACGACTGTTGCCCTAGTCAAATGGTACTGAGAGGGGTGGTGAGAAGGCTTGATAATGGATTGGTTGAGCAACTACCAGGGCCAGCGGTAAAACGCTGTTTACAAAGATTCTTGCCAATTATTACGTTACAAACTGGACCGTAGTTTAACGGGGGTGACGGTTTAGCTGTTGTAGCGTTTACTGGTACCTGAAAAGCCTGGAAACAATGGGTTCGACGGACTTCTGGTGTAGGATATAACTGATGTTAATCGCATCTGTCACTTTTAAGCCAATTCGACTTTGATAACACTGTATTCCGAGCTTCCGTATAGTAGTGACTATCCGTAGAATAGGCTTCGAGTAGAGTCTAAGCCACATCATAAATATTTTTTATGAAGTCTTCAAGCAAAAGAATCACAATGTCATCAAGAACGAGTTTAATAGAATCATGTTGTAGACTTCAATAAGATTCATCTGTTTGGAAATATGATATAAAAGCTAAAGTAAAACTTTGATATCATCATATTGTAATGTCCGTAATATAGAGAGAGGAATGCATTGTGGTTAGAACACGATAGACAGCGTTTACGTCTCCTTTCAGGAGAGAACAATGACATTCTATTTGTTTTCCTGCATCCTCCTAGACTTGAGAAATGTTCTACAGTGTCCACACAGTCATAACATCCGTATGGCGCTGCAGTTCCAAGACGTCTAATGTGATGTTCTCTCGTTGTCTATGGTTCAGAGTGTGGGGTTATTGACGATACATGCTCTGAAATATGAACAGTCATAGACAGAATATAATGGCCAGGGGCTGAAATGATTATTCGTAGTCAACCTCTGAACGATGACATTCGTTTGGTATCGCAATTACACATGTATCTGCCACAATCTGGGATATTTTTGCATCTGTGATTTCATTGTGATCGATTCTATTAACATCACCCCGAATTTTTTTTTTTTTAAATCAATGAATGAAAAAAACTATCTTTCACGTTTGCTTCATACGTGTAACGTCATGATGATGAAAACAATACACGTATTTGTTACACCAAATCAGCAGTAGCGTGCCGTCGGGGACCAATTAGTGACGGAATTTAAGCCTCCTCCAGCAGTGGGAAAGCCGCTTAGGTGCTTAATCACAGTCACATACTGACTTATCGAACACACGACAGTCCCACCCTTAAGTATCTTATTTAAAGGAAAGCATCGTTCTCTGTTTTTCATTTCGTTTAGGATATTTCTAGGACTCTACCTCGCTCACAGGTAAGTATTGTTTGACAGTAAATCTATGTAATGTTGTATGTATACATGTTATTCAGTGAACCTCTATTGCAGGATACAATCACATGACTGCATATATACTAATTCCAAGTGAATCTGATACTACAGGAATTGAACCAAATGTCGGTACAGTACATGATACAATAAATACATTATATTTACGAGAAAGAACATCTTAAATATGCTATATATATAATTAAATCCTTTATATATCGTTTTACATTTGATCAATAAAAGTATTCAAATGTCCGTTGTCATTACCACAGTTCGTTTTTTGAGAACGTTGCATTACCTCAATCTGACTCAGATTTATATGCCGTATGAAACACCTGACCTTACTTTCTGCATACATTTTGTTTTTTTATTTTGTTCCAGTCTCTTTGATCTTAAGTTCAAATTACAGTTTTGTTTACATTTCGATATACCTGTTTTGTCTACACGTGAAGACCTTTAGTTTATACACGACACACTGTCTACAACTAACTTTACATTTAAATCTGTATATAAGTTCATGTAGCAGCCCCGAAGACCCTTACCTGGATAATATTATTCCTACTAATATGTAGAAAAATAAGGCCGTCACTTCATCGGATATGAATAAATCTATTGGATAGAATTCATTACGGATATTTAGTCTAGTTTCTAAGCACTGGTTTGTTGAGAGGGGAAATCGAACTGATTTTTCGACAGTTGTTTGTTTTAAAGTATAGATTTTAAGTACTTTAAAAATGGAAATTTTCGAGGCGTGGAAATACTTTTTTCTCTCGTTGAATAGATAAGCGCTAAAATATCCACACGCGAAAATATATTTATTGATTATAGATACACAGATTTACACACCGTGATCACTTTAAGAAGTTACAACGCGAACATTTCCGAACGCGAAAATCCAATATTTAATAAGTAACTAATGAAATACATTCGTTTACACTAAAATATTTCGTCGTCCAGAAAAAAAATGATTGAATTCAACACTATGGTGATTTAATTGCATGGATAATTATTTGCATGACCCTTCTTCAAGCAAAGAAAAACAAATAGTTTACCATGTGCAATTAATAATAATTAAAGGCAAATTGACTCTGCAATTCAGCTTTGTAGAAATCTTATTGCGTAGTCTTTATAACTAAACAGGTAGACCGTTGCAAACTATTTCTGTCAAAAATAATGTTCTGAGCTTTTATCTACTCCGAGGATAAACTTTCAGAATTAGCCTCAGAAGCGTAAGATGATGGTTATACAGAGATATATTAAATAAACACAAACTTTGAACAATTTCCTTTTATCTTATTAGTTTTGACGTCAATTATTCATTAGTTTTAGGTTCAACATTAACATTGTTTTAACCTTTTAGATCAGATCTGTTATTCACAAAGGTTGTCTATTTACTATCACTATACACATGTGTACCATTGTTGTTATTAATTTCAATGGGATGGCAGTAGTTAGATCGATTTAGTTCATTGTTTTAGTTATTTCCAATAGGACTTTTTTGTCATTTATACTTAAAAAGGAAGTATGCGCAATTATATAATATATTATATTTCTTGATGCTAGCACAGTACGTAGTCAGTCTCTTACTCTAGTATTTCTGTGTATTTCTTCCATGGTTTATTGTCAGGTCTTATAGTTACGTGTCTGGGACACATGTCCCAGTGAGTATTATAACTGAGCGGTAATTGAATGATAGCATTATCTACATGTTATGATAAATAAGAAAACAGTTTTTTTAAACGTATCTATCTATGCTATCAAATCGGTACAATTTCCGTTTTTCAGCATTCGAATTCTCACCTTCAACTTTTACATACACATGCTTCATATCAACGACACAATCAATACATTGATATAACAGGTGCTTGTTTGTATTTAATAGATTCGAAATTGAATGATGATAGGAGAAGAAAGCTTGCCTTGTATCAGTTCCTGTAGCAAAGTAGAACAATTTCTACGAAATGTAGAGCATCAGAAAATGAAAACCATGCTGGTATGGTGTAGTCAACACTTCTATATTTGTGTCTCTTAATAAGATTCAGCAAAACCAGTTATTCTCTAAGGAAATGACAGAACTTGATCCCAGAATAAACAGTACAAAGCGAACAGCAATATCGGAACCAGATCAATTCATCATCAATCATTTTGTGGCTTTTACATTTTCTAATACAAAGATTAAAATACAAGCCGCTATCAGACGAAGGCGTAACGTACAGTAGACACGTGCATTATGTATCAAACACGTGCTGTACGGGTGAAAATGTCATACAGGTCAGTATTGAAGGGACTCACAAAACTTTATTAACACGAAAGGAAGGAGGTGCTCTGAGCCCCTGTCTTGTTTACCAGTTTTTCTACCCTACATCCCTGGTCATGAAAGAGGGTTTTTTCTCAAAAAGGCATTGCAATTTCCGCAAAGCGGCAGCGGAAGGTTTCCGATAACGTGACGTCATGCCATTGTTGACCCCAATATTGTGACGTCATGTACGTAAACTCTTATGAGGTGTCGGATTAATAAAGCCTCGGACCTCCTGCTCAATATTGTATCCGAGGGTTTGAATCACCCTATCCATACCTCACATCAGGGATGGATTCTATTTCTGGCTTATTACATAAAACCCGTAAAAACAGCTGCGTACATTTCTCATTTGCATATGAATCCCGGATAGCAATTAAGGATTGAATCTTGCTTTGGTCGATTTCATGGAGTGATGAATTGAGTTGGTCTTGAAACAAATTTAATGAACTGCGAAGCATTTCATGTTGAATTTGTTTCAAGACCAACTCAATTCAAGAGTCGAACTTGATTAGGAATTGAAATATTTGTTAATGACGTCAATGACCCTGACTGACCCCAAAACGTTATGAAATGCCGTCATGAACAATAGCATGACCCCGAAAGGTCACTTTAATTCCTCCGCCAGTCTGAGTGTGTAAGCGATCCAGACCCGTGGGTCGGATACATTTTCCAGCACCGCCAGAAATGCAGATATCTCGGTCTAGTATGCAAGAATGTTTCTTCCAACCCTATCTTACCCTGGACAACCCTGTCTTACCCTGGACAACCCTGTCTTACCCTGGATGACTCATGCACGCACATGAACGGGATACTGTTTTTTACCCTACACCCCATTTCACGTGCGTGACGTTACGGGGTATCGGATTAGAATTGATGCAATCCGCAACGTATCTAACACATCTACAATTGTCGAGGAGTTTGTAATTGATTAGGAACTGTTTGCTATACATGTTTTTAATCTTGGCAAGTACCAGAGCACTGATGCACCACAAGCCACCTGTCAATATGCATCCTCTGTAACGGTTGTACCCTAATGTAGATTTGTTACTAACAGTCGTTATACATGTCAGTACATTCGTGACAAGCCGGTGTTACTTAGTCGTGCTATAGTCAGAATTTCGAGAATTACGAGTCAGGCAATATACATAGGTATTGACATCTGCCGACTTATACAGAAAAGTAAATATAGTAGCGCGTGCTGAACACCTATAGAGGTCCACTGGCGTTAGTGATTATACTCCTCCGACCACACCCTAAATAATACCTTCATGCACGACGTGCTTGTTTATATTTAAAACCTTGATCTTTAATCTGATTTTCCTACCTTTATTTATTTCACTTCATCATTTACTTCAATTGTTGACTTAGATAGGATATATCATTACTTCTCTGACTTAATTTCTTTGCAGGAAAAAAATGGCGAATTACATGTTCTTGATGGAATGGGATAATAACACGGTGAGTCGACAACTTGGGGATGCAAAGACGAGCCTGCTAAGCTTACGAGAGATCACTTATAAACATACTTATTAATGACAAATAAAACATACTATTATAACTTAACGACATTACCACCACTGCCTGACGACCTGTTATCACTGTTTATTGATGACTTATTGCCACCATTACTAACGAAAAATTACCAAAACTAACAACATCTCATCCCTTTCAACTCACGGCACATTAAAGAATTACCACTATTTCTTAAAACATATTAACATCGTTAACATTTAAACAAAACAAAAATAAAGGGATTGAATATAATCTGGAAAAAAAGACAAAACAATTACAAATGTTTTCCTCTCATGGAATTATCAGATGTCTGTTATTGTCCAAAATTGCTTCACGGTTCGTCATTGCTTGTACGTGATATATCATGTGATATGACCAATTTGTCTTTTGCAGTTGACGGAGTGGGACGAACATAACATGATTAAGATGACTGTGACCGGCTGTGGGTTCTCCTTTGTAGGCCTCATGTTGACGCTATGCCTCCTCTGTTTCCTCCCGTAAGTCGTCAGTTCATAAAATCATCAACACACGACCTGATTTCTCCCCTTAAATATTGGTAAATAGGGTTCACAACACACCCTTTATCCCTTCAGTGATGTAGAAATACAGTTATCTAATTCCTTTTCTTGAAACTTAATGGCAAACTATGATTTTTAAATAACAACATCCATTTGAAAAAAATGAATGATTAAAACATTGATTTCAAACTTTATATTTCTTTTTACATAATTTGTTGTCGATATTACAATAACCTGTTTTTTTCAGTATTGCTAACGACGGACTGTACATAATAACCAATATGTGTATATCTATGGTAATGGCACAGCTAGCCTTCATAGGGTCGGAAAACACCTACCCTGAAAAGGTCAGTCTTACTCCTCGGGCAACAAATAAAACAATTTAAAGTTATTGCCATACGTTATGAACCATAAATATTCCAAACATCACAAGCCAAGAACCACGTATTTACCCGCCATCAGCACCTCAGAGCTGTTTATCAAGCATAACACGTCACTACCAACCAATGTTATTAACATAACACGTTAAGAACCCTCAACGTTTTAGGCAAGAAAAGTTAAGACCTACCGATTCATGTCAGATATTGTAATTTGAGAACAATCAAATTACATGGATTAATATAGCATAATATTATCTGGAAATAACGACATTACTGGTTGAAAAATAATGAACGGTTTGGTGACAGGGGCGGTTTGGATTATTAAATTGAATCTAATATTCATAAAGATGTTCAAAGTGGGTTAAGTAAGAGTATGGTTATAAAATATATAAATATTTTACACATAAGTTGAGAAGTAAACCTGCTGTAATGCAAATCTTGTTGATAATAATAGTATTTTTGTGGCAAAAGTAGTTTATGGCGATCAGAATGTATCCTTAAGGCTTAGTAATTGGATCTGTTACAGTTGTTATGTAAGACGGCGACCTCACTGCTCCACTACCTGTTCCTGTGTGTCCATTTCTCCTCCCTGTGTTTTGGTTTACACTTGATGACGAAGGTATCTATTATACATAACGTTATTATTGAGTTCCTTTCATGTCTAAATCGTATATACCAACATACATGTCAATACCCACACTGGATGTAATCTACTGATTAGATAAACATTGAACCGGACAAGGGCCTTTTGTGTGAAATAGTGATTCTCAGCACTCGATCTACGTTTCGCTGAATCTAACGTTCAAAATATGATTGTATATTGACCGAGAACGTAATTTTCATATATAATATTTTGATGGTGCTCGAAGAGATCATGTTTTGTTTGTATGAGTAGACAATTTACAACGATATCAATATATCATCTTTGCAGTTAAAGTCAGAACACATGATGAATAAGTCTCTCAAGCGCACGTGGATACTGCTCACGTGCTGGGGCGCGCCTGGTGTCATTGTTGCTATCACAGCAGTCATTCGAGGTGACACCTATGGCACAAACAAACTGTGAGTTTCTTACAAATAGGGCACATAAAAACGTTTGAACACACATGGCATAAAATGTGACTGATTGTTCCGTCGAGTCTTTTATTGCGGCATAACACATTGTCTCGGAGGATCACGTGCACATGCACACTGGGCTTGTCATTCCATTATATATAAAATGTTTTGTAAGGTTTACATTTGTACGCAAAAACGTTTCTTGCATTGAGTCTGTCAAATGTTTAATGGATGAAATAATGTTTTCAAAGTAAATATAATAATTATGATTTTTATTTCCAGACTTATGTATTTCTCTTTTTATCAAGCAAAAATCTGCTTAAGAATCACAGAAGAATTCCAATTAGCCACCATAGTTATGAATATCTCCGGTCCTGACCAACAAAACTGTCATGTATTTGCTAAGTTAATGGCATACATATATTGTTACAGGTGCTGGTTAGCATCAACTTACGGCACCAAATGGGCGTTCCTAGGACCAGTTATGGCAATACAGTTGGTGCGTATTATATCACGAAAATACGGGTTCACTCCCGTTTATTTTATCAATTTGAAAATCGTTTTACCATTTATCACAGTTTTCTTAAACCCGAAAAAAGCGTTGTAATTAACATTGTGTTTCGTGGTTATATGAAATAGAAGATCGCCAATTGTGTCCCCGGTCTCACTACAGACATCTGAACGTGCCGGGTCAACCGGTCACAACATAATTAACATTTACAATGGAATATACTGCAGAAGTATCAGAAAGGTTTATTATGAACATCATACAATTATGTCCGCAGGTGAATGGTGGCATCTTCGTCGTAATGATGTTAACAAGGATGGGAGCTGACTCAAAGAAAGGATGCTCTTTCATTGAATTAGTCAAGTAAGATACACGAATTTTATCAGACTTTGCCAAATTACTTGATACAGGTTGTGACAATTATAACATGGCTCCAATGAGTCTAGATGTCGATTATAGCGACAGGCTATTTGTCAGGACATTGTAAAAGCCATTGAAAATTGGTTATATTTGTATTGTTTTTGATGGAACCAATGGCTAGGTGTTAATTAAATAAAAGTTAATGTGTATATTACGTGCTAACAGACAGCAGGTGATGACAGCTATTTCACTGATCCCATGCCTCGGTCTGATGTGGTCGCTTGGATTCGCTGTGACGTTCGGGACATCAAAGGCGGCCCAGTACCTGTTTGTGATATTGGCAGCGTTACAGGTTCGCAATATATTTTCAATTATGAACTCTTTTCTGAAACTAATTTAATTAATAATAATTGTTTAACGCCGTTGTTGATTATGCACGACCGTATCATTGCTATTTTATCTTTGAACAGGGCCTACTGATATTTCTGGGTCACATCATGACTCACACACAAGTACGCAAGTCCCTGTGCGTGAAGATGAACCCTAGTGGTTATGACATGTCGGAGAAGAACAGCGACGACTTCACCAGATCCTCTAACATCGTGGAAGCTAAACGAGGGTAGGTAGGTATCAACTACTTCGGACAAGTAACGGTTCATGGTTCTCAGTAATCTTCAAAATCTTAAGAAGTTAATTTCATTTTTGACAAAAACAATCTATTTATTAGGGTCAGCTTAAACTGCATTGAATGGTGGTAAAAGACGTTTTAATTGACGGACAATCTACAACACAGAGTTTCCAAAGATGTATGTTGATGAAGTCTATAGAGAAGTTGTATGGACGATATCATGAACTAGCAGGGGGATATGGTATTTCTTTGTGCGATGTGAAGGTCAAATTTTTTATCTGCTCATGTGTACAGTGTATATTGTGAATGTGTAGTCACTACCCGAGTTCTCGATATGAAGACGTGACATTACGTGAACTACATTTACATGGTTGGTAAAGTCGATGAAGCAGACAACGCTCGTCCTACCGAAACACGTGCTCTTAGTATCGTTTTCAAGAGTCTCCAAGTAAATATTTTCTTTGTTCATATTTTGTCTTAGTTTTTTACTTCTGAGTTCGAAGTGTTGGTTTGTTGACACCTCGGTACTCTCTTGTTGGTTTGTTGACAACTCGGTACTCTCTTGTTGGTTTGTTGACAACTCGGAACTCTCTTGTTGGTTTGTTGACACCTCGGTACTCTTTTGTTGGTTTGTTGACACCTCGGTACTCTCCTGTAGGTTTGTTGACACCTCGGTACTCTCCTGTTGGTTTGTTGACACCTCGGTACTCTCTTGTTGGTTTGTTGACCCCTCGGTACTCTCTTGTTGGTTTGTTGACAACTCGGAACTCTCTTGTTGGTTTGTTGACCCCTCGGTACTCACTTGTTGGTTTGTTGACACCTCGGTACTATCTTGTTGGTTTGTTGACACCTCGGTACTATCCTGTTGGTTTGTTGACAACTCGGTACCCTCTTGTTGGTTTGTTGACCCCTCGGTACCCTCTTGTTGGTTTGTTGACACCTCGGTACTCTCTTGTTGGTTTGTTGACACCTCGGTACTCTCTTGTTGGTTTGTTGACAACTCGGTACTCTCTTGTTGGTTTGTTGACACCTCGGTACTCTCTTGTCGGTTTGTTGACACCTCGGTACTCTCTTGTGGGTTTGTTGTTACTTCGGTACTCTCTTGTTGGTTTGTTGTCACCTCGGTACTCTCTTGTTGGTTTTTTGACACCTCGGTACTCTCTTGTGGGTTTGTTGTCACCTCGGTACTCACTTGTCAACAAACTAACATTTTTAAAACATGTTTATTGGTGTTTTGTTTAGGTTTGTACAGCCCATATTAAGAAATACAGAATTGCATCTGCTAGACAAGTGTCCCATGGTAAATTATCAGGTGATGTGAAAGTAAATTATATTTCACAACAAACCTGTATTACACATCATGATTGAGACAACCTTATTATTTTTTACATTAGACGCCTTAAAATAGGAGGTAGAGATAATCTAATTGTTAAGGAAACAAGAGAACGTGACTGATTAATACTTTTTATATGCAGTTTTAAAAAGAGAATTGTTGTTTTTTCACACAAAATATAGAAAAAGGTTACATTTCATTTCGAACTATTAAATCTTTTCAATAGCCACATTTTGCATTGTTTGCATGTGATTACACATTTGAAATTTAGACATACATACAATTTGCCAGATAACTAGGTACTTTGATAAAGAGGAGCCAGCATCCTTGATAAGACCAGTGCAATTTGACGACTGTGTTCGAGAACTGTGAATAATGCCTCTCGACAGTGCAGTTCTAGTTGCATTTTGTTACCCAAAGCTTGAATTAATGTTTGTCTTTCTATTTTACTTTTTTGGGCAACCTATTTGATCGCTCTATTTCTGAGGTGTTGATCGTTTATCTCGTTTTATTTGCATTTGTTAATTCATGTAGTTATACCCCTTGATCAGGAGCTGTGATTCGTCGGCGTCGACCAATGAGAGACGCCATTCTGACTACTGCCTCATTACAAACAAAAACCAACTCGTTGTTCCTCCAGCCGCGCAATGCCGACACCGATCGCCGCGAACAAGCACATGATATGACGTCATCGACCATGACAGCTCCATTTCATGAACTTTCTCAAAACCAAGTCTTCTATCGTAACGAAGCATGCATTAGTAAACGGATCTATGATCAAGCCAACCCATAACCTGACCGCCATGTTGTAAATGTTGGGAAGTAACTGCCTGAATATGTAACCTTTCTTTGTTTGGTATATATTTATCTCTATAAAAAAAACATATCTTGTTTATAAGACATGCCACTTGTAGACATAGTGTTACATGCGTGATGGATCTTTCATGAACAGTATTTATGATGTTGACAAACCACATTCCAGAGATATATAACCCAATTGTCAGAAAACCACTGAATGAAACTTGTATTTCTTAACCTTATTAATAGATGATTACATTGACCATCATAGTGAAACATACTTGCGCAAGAGTGTATTGTTTGCAACATGAATTTTGTAGCTGGTAGCATGAAACACCAGTACATGTTTATTGACGGAAATTAGTAGCAATGCCATATTTATCTTGGATTTGGTTTGAAAGAAATAATGGAAAAGAATACATATCGAACGTTTATTGGACTACACACATGTTGATTTGAATATAAACCTGTAGGGTTTCTAAGATTATGACATACATGTTTAAGAATATCTAATATCAATTATGATATATTCATAGTAATATAACAAATATCAATCAGAATACTTACAGCATGGTTTATCCACTAAGATCAAATCACATAGTGAAAAGAATACCTTAAAAGTGGAAATTTGCGCTGTTTGGAAATTTAGCGTTTTCGTGTTGAGTGAATAAGCGCGAAAATAAGCGCGAAAATATTCACAGGTGAATATTCATTTATAGTTTATATATAAAAAGAATACAAAGGTTGCAAATCTAATCCCAAAGTAGGACTTTCAACACCGCAATTTGTTTAAAAGGTCAAAACATGCGAACATTTCTAAACGCGAAAATTTCCACATTCACAGCACTTGTAGCATATTTGCTTCGGCTCTAAGATTAAACATTGTCATAAGAATCCTTTCGCTTGGTTTTCTAGGATCTTAACGCACAATATTTGAAACTCACCCGTGGGTTTCATGATTACAGCTCATATTATTTTGAAAACTTACTTCATGAGGTATGGCATTGTAAAGTACATCACATTGAATGTTCATGATTTCAAGGATTGTAACGTGCATATTTTAAAACTTATTGCATGGTTTTCTTGATTATACCGTCCATTCAAATTGTTTTGTAAATAACACCATTGGCTTACTATTTTATAAATGTTACCATGAAAATAAAATATTTCTGATAGCATGTCTATGTGACTGCAAAGCGAACAATACAATATACACGCCTTCTTAGAACTGTAAAGTTCGTAAAGCCAGCAATGTTATTGAGATAATTCAAATGTCCTTCAAACCAACACATCATATCAGACTTCTTAAAAAATAACAACGTACTGAAAAATCAGATATCCGACCTGACAAAATTATTGCCATTTTCTTCTCTGACAAAGCTTAGGCGTCAGTCGTGTCTATTTATAGAATAGTTTTTAGAACTTATGTAGCTCTAATTAATGTGAACTTGTACTGTTTTCCTACCGTGGTTATTTTGTAGTTTTAATGTTGATATATGTAATTCTTGCTATCAAATTAGATTTGTAACTTTCATTGAGCAGTTAAAGTTTAATTAAATTCATGGTTGTCACTTAATCTGTCACTGAAACACAGAGGCATACTAGATATCGCTTACCCAGGTATCATATCACGTCCACTTCATAATCATATAAATATAATAATTTTGTTATATTAATTATATAACATCATAAACTTATATCTTATATTTTAAATCCCCGTATTTGTGAATATTTGGGAATCTGTGCTTGTCCATTTACAATGCCGATTGTCAAGTTTATAGTTATTGACATTCGGGACGCTCCGAGGTGGCATGAAGCCCTGGTCGCTGAACATCCGGGTTCTGTCCAACTGTATATATATATATTTATGTATGTAATCCCAATAATATAACCAGGCCTGGATCACACCTTGTCAATTTAATAAGCCGTTAATTGAAGACTTAGAATGTGTTTTCATTTCGTAATGCTTAAAATGTACAAAAAGTATTGTTTTGACTGTCTTATATTATAATTTTGAACTTACATAGACGTGATTGAAGTAATAATTTTCACTAAAATTTAAAAGAAAAACATTTCGTCGTTTTTATTTTGCGATATTTTGTGGTTGAGCTTATACTGTGATTTCCGGGCCTTTTGATGACTGATGTTGTTACTTTTATAGATAGTGAGTAACAAAACGCTGAAGTTTGCTATGATTATGCACAAAATGCTGGGAGCAAATTGTTGACGCGGTTTAGTGACTTGCGTTATTTGACTGTACATACATTGTATGCATGTTATTTATGAAAAGTATTTTTTATTAAATATTAATGCTTTTAAATGTGTGTATTGTATTTGTGTATATGAATGATTTATTATAATACGAAGATTAGTATCTAATTTATATATAATACAATGATTTATTACGATCTGATGTATTATGAAATCGTTTTAACATTATATTTGAAGCAATTTACTTTTTGTATACGCCTGTTAAAATCAAGCCTCTTTCCTAAAATTTCGGGAACGAACAAAGAAAGGAAAGATAACTCTTTTTGACTATATGTACGAGGCTGCATGGTAGTGTTGGAAAAACCAATGAAAATACAAAAAAAACAAGATCGTCAACACACAAGGAAATTAAAAAGTACAAACAATGGAACTTGAAAAGGCACCAAAACAAATCATCATGACAGTGTTAACATGATAAAATAAAAATCCATTCACCCATTCGTCAACCTTCCCATTCAATATCGGTGCTATATTACTATAAACTCAAACCGAATACAAAACGAGCGTTCTTTGAAATTTCAATTACTTACATGTACATGTAGATACAGAAATAAAAAGTAAAATGGATATTTAGGACACTAAGGGTTCTATTCGGTTTAGGGATCTAAAGATTCTAATGAAGTGAATAAATATTGAATAGGATACTGCATCAGTGTCAAACAACGACATTGTTTTGGGGGTCAGGATATATCTTTCTGTTTTAAAGCGAACAGATCAATAAGTTATAAATATAATATACATATGCCAGTTATTGTCTTATGCCAATGCCATTACGTGTTTCATATCCTGTCTCAAATGATTCGATATGAGGACGTATACGGTATCGACGACGCTTAATTTTTGCAACATCAATTACACTAGAATGAGTGGAGCTTCTTCATCTTTAAACCCTCCGACTCATGTGTGTAAAGTACCACACCATTGCTTTAATTTTGAACAATGGCGACAACAACACAATATAAAAAATATACAGACTAAAAAACAACAAATAGAGTACAGACAGCTGATTAACCGTTGTATAATCTAAAACATATAAAACCTATTTCACATTTACATGTTTGCAGTTAGATATGTCAATCATGACACACGAACGTAAGTGTCCTAAATACTAAATAAAATAATTGCATATAACATGCTATCTCAATGCTGAATACATTCTTATGGCACACTATATAAATATCAACTATTGGCAAAGATACAATGTCTAACATCATTATATTTAACAATTGAAAATGCCGGGAACGTACTCTTGTTCATGCGCATTATAACTTTACATTAGATTTTACGCTTATTTCCACCCCTCAACATAAACATGTACTTATTACTTGTGACCTCTTTATGAATGCAGTTACTCTTAAAGATACTTAATTACATAAGGATTTGCAGCATTATCTTGAATAGGCTACATAAACTATTGTTTTTTTTCTTCTTAGAAAACATGTAGCTTTGCAAAATATATAATCTTCTTCAATCGTCCTTTTAACCAAAACACAAATGTATTAGAATTGGACAATATTGCTGCGATTCTGTCTAAGATTAGATGATAGTCCATTAATAAAAGTCACTAAGCTAAGGGAAGTTGGTCAAAATTCAACGAATTACGTATTATTTTCTGGTTATTGCTGTGCTTTTGTTTCTTTGATTACCTTGCAATCAAATTACATTTTGAAGTTAAATATAAAAAAAAAACACTCTCTAAAATCTGAGTAATCTCCCTTCCACTACAAAATGTGTTATATTGTGTTTTGTTTAAAAAAAACCATCCCATATGATACTAGTATCTAATGTATCAATCTTGATATTGTATTTAAACAAAACAACACATGTAAGAATACTTGAGTAGTACTACTACTACTACTACTAGTAGTAGTAGTAGTAGTAGTAGAAGGAGGAGTAACAAGTATAAAGAACTTTGTAATTTTGAAAATTAAGAAGGCTTGTTTGTTCGTGTTTGGGGCCAGGTCCTTAACCTCGTAGTTCACGACAAAATACTATCACCGAGAAACGAAACTATAACATGTTTATTAATTTTGATTTCTCCTGTTCAATTTATATATCATTATTATCAATATATAAATAAATGTTACATGTTGTTGTTAAGATTAATAAACGTGATTACAGAATTTATATATGGAATAATTATAAGAAAACAACAGCATCTGTGAAAACCAAGACCGCTACTAAAAGGAGGCCTCGGTAATTCCCCAGCCAGTCTGTAAATCTGTTACAAACCACACTCCTGAATTCAACTACAAATGAATTGTCTCATCAAATTCTGCACTATGTGATGCTATTAATGATGTCGATTGTGCAAATTATATTTACTTTAGATTAAATATCACATGAAGTGTGTATATTATTTTGTATTTGAAGTTCTTCAATCTGGGATTCCAAAATGGTCGATGCCATCCATGTGTTTATAACATGCAAAAGGATTAATGTTTTTGTAAAATGTCATATAATAAAAATAATTGTAAACTTCAGTTTCGGTCTATTCTTGATTCACGTACCTGGTCTGAACAATATGCACCTCGGCCTCCGGCCTCAGTGAATATTGTTCAGACCAGGTCCGTAAAACAGGGATGACAGACCTCACCTGAAGTCCATAACTGTATAATGTCGACCATATATTCATGATATTATATACTCAAATACGTGTGATGATAAAACAGTACATGACACTGTGTTGTTTGTCATGAGAACTGTAACTTATGAGTTTACTCGTACTGAGTTAGAATTTATTGCCTGCCTGAGCTAACAACCATCGCGGTATGTACAGAAATCCTGGAGTCCATTTAGCAATCCATGCAGTTTTGGGATTCTGACCAAGAAGAAAACTTAGCTGGCGAATTGAAGGCGGCTGACGGCCTGTATAAACAAACGAAAATATCACATAACATCATCTGGTTGGAATAAAACCTCAATCGCAGATTATTTATTGTGGGGTTTAATCATTGTGGAAGGAGATTGCCACCATAGCCCACTATTTTACCGACAGGGTGAGTTTTTACGATTTACAAAACATAAGGTTAACACACAAATACCACACAGAAATTAAATGAGACATGAAAACAAAAGGAAATACACTATGTACATCAATAATAAAGGAGACACCAAAAATTAGAGACAGGACAATAAGAAATCTGTTAAACGCTGACGATATCCGGTCATCCAGGTTTTTGTCTACATGTGTAACGTTTTATATAAGATTTTAGAAATCAGGTCATGTTGACATTGGAACAAGTTCTTTAACACAGAAAAAAATCGCTCCGACAGAAATTCATGTCAGGAGGAGCGAATCAGCTGTAACATGTAAGAAATGTTTGGTATTTTACTTCTGAGGGAATGAAAGATAACGATAGGGACATGGAAGACAACACGTTTGTCGTATACATTTCCGGATTGTTTAAGATTGTTTTACGGTAGTTTACGCTGTATACATGTACGTTTTAAGTACTGAATACTGAGAGTGAAGCAGTATGATTAAAAACGCCCCAATACTAATGCATTGCCTGAAGAAAATATATCTCAAGCGCTTCGATTTGTGTATTTATTGTTAACTTCAGACGTAGAAGATGATGTGTGATTTACCTACAAAATGGTCGTCCCTTATATAATGTACAAGTAGAAGTATGGCAGCTACACTCCTCCATAAGTGAACAGCATCACCAATCTATAATTAATATTTACTTTAGTTATGAACACAACATACAACCTGTCTAATGGGATTAATGCATGCATGGAGTGATAACATCTTTACCGTCAATGTCTGTAAACCCATACTCGTACGCCAGGTCACTTGTCAGATGGATTTTACCAGACTTCTTGCTCATCAAGTTTTTATCTGAAGTAGAAAATCAAATATAGATATGTTGTATGTATTACAGCTAAACCTTGTTAGAGACCACCTACGCAGTAGTCTAGGACAGTTACTACAGATTTAATTGAATCTGATGTGTTTTACGCAATAAAAATTGTCCGTAAGTATCATCCGTTTCTCCTGTCCGATTTTTGGTATTGATTTACTTTAAGTGTTGCACTAAAACGTGCTTCAGTTGATGATGAATTCTTGGCTGCAGACTCAGTTTTCATAATCTATAATGTTATTTAAGTATCAACAATCCTATAATGCTTATATATATATAGCCTATAAAGGGTATTTTTCATTTCATGTTTATTTAAGTTTAATAGTCGAAAACAATACAATTACATAAGTATCAACAAAACTGTATTTTGAACTCAATGACGGAGTGGATTGTGTTTTAGGAAAACCTCTATTATCCTAGGATGACCATACTGAAGTTCTAATGCATGTTTGCCCGTTAACATATCACGTAATATGTCGGTTTACTTTTAAAAGGTCGTATTTATTAAAAATGACATTGAAATGCGAGGAGAATAAGACCAAGTGTGCCCTATGGACAAGCGTCATTTGCTTCATCGACGATATCTGCCATGCAAATCTAGGTCATATCAAAGTAATGGAATGACCTCATGGCGAGATTCATGATAGGGGCAACGAAAAAACAAGGCTAACTAATGAACATATATATAAAAAAAAAACTTCTTATTGTATAAAAGAACATGCATATTTCCGAAATGATATACTTATGGCGACTATAAATCCTGTCAAAATTCATCATTAACTAGCGAATTGGGAAATCTTGTGTTGTAAAATGTTTGTCAGCATTGGTCATCTATCGCGGAAAGCATGCTAGTCGGAGCAATTTCTTGAACAACAAAGTAAATGCGACGTGTACACACGGGTAGCTTGCTGAAGCAGGGATGTTACTATCAAGAAAGGGAAAGTTCGCGATCGCAAAATTTAAAACGTTCCACTTATCGTACAGCTTTTGTTTGACATGTTTCTTAACGTCGATTAGATTAGAAGATTTAACATGAAGAAAAGTATAAACCAATAAATGATATTGAGACACGGTAGTCTAGTGGTAGGACGCCTGGCTCGTGACCGAAGTGTTGCGGGTTCGGGTCACGGCACGGCTCTGTGTTGTATCTTTGAGCAAGATACTTTACTCCGCTTGTTCCAGTCTACTCAGCTTTAAATGAGTACGTGGTACGGCAGTGCTAGAATTGTTGAATGTTAGCTGTTTGCGCCGAAATGGCAGCTCCGGCTGTACGCTTCCCAGGAAGTTGAGAAAGATATTGACTGGTTGCAAAGGCCATATGATCACGGATAATTATTTGTGAACCGCTTTGAGACGACCTACGAACTATGTTGTATTAGAATCTCAAATTATTATTATTCATAATATCTAGCCCGAATTCTAAATGTATCATTGGAATTCTTTTGTATTTGTAAGATTTGTCTGTTCCGTCATTTTCCTTTGAAAACACTCATTTAAACAAACGTCTATATAATGTAATTTATGAACTTTTAATTGATACAATTGTATGTCATTTACGTGTTTCCCATACACAAGAGTTTTTGTTATATGTATATAGGATCTGGGTGATTCGAGATGAAAACATCACTTGTCCATCTTTTATACATAACTTATATACCAGTCTGTAACAACATTAAAAATGAAAGATCCGTTGTTGAATTTGGGCATTCGGCGCTTCTCAGACAGCAACGTATTGCTCGAACATACACATCTACGTCTGTTATAAGATTGTCAGCACTAGTTGAACAAACCGCTTATTGTTTAAATATTTTCTCTCGTCTATCCAAATGAAATTAATAAAACTATGTAAAAAAAATCCACTGTATATGAAGCCAATGTACCATTAATTTAATCAGACGTTGATCACCTTAACACTGACAACAACGCCAACTCCAAGTAGCACACCCGTTGACCAACTAACAGGTGACAAAGATACGTAATAACAACGCCCACTCAAAGATAACCACAAGGCGTGTGGGGGTGCGTAAATATAAATCAAACCGTACGTGTTTTCTGATGTGAAAATAAATATCAATGTATACGACTACAGATTATTTATTATACCAATCACGTCGTTGAAACGAAACAGTTGCTTCTACAGGAAGTAGTCTCATCATAATGGTCAATTTTTGTTCATATGTAAATAATGTTCAAGTCTGTTAGATATCCGGTGCAGGTAACTTCTTACGCAGGAGTCGAACTCATGCCTACATGCACACTACACTTGAGTTCAAATGCTGTGTAATACTGTATATCTCTGTCCGGGTTTAATGTACACATAATTAAAGGAGCATCCGGGTGCTTGAGGGTAAATTTGAACAGTCCGCTTACAATATAAAGTGCGCGTCATTATAAAATATGCATACATCCTCCTGTGTGAGTCGGTATGACATACGTATACATCCTCCTGTGTGAGTCGGTATGACATACGTTTACATCCTCCTAATTATTCATTGCTCGTTTGCTTATTGTTTTGAAAATTATTTGATCTAATTGATATATGGACAGTGTTTGCAGGAATATTGTACTTTAATACACAATGTAGTAGCATTTCCATTCCACAACTAAGAAAAAATCTGTACCTGATAGTAAATTGACCACGGCTTTACCAGCGTATTCCGTTGTCTCTCCCTCAGCAAAGTTAATTCCGGATTTCTTTGTCTGTGTTGGAGTAAAACAGCATACAAGTTATAATCACGATAGTACATATTTAGTACTGTGACCGAGGTCCCATCTCTGTCAAGTTTAGATACAGGGATAAGACAACATTTGATTAGGTTATTGTTTTCTGGCATATTCACTATTTAGTATTCTCATTAAACTAATATTTTCGAATGATAAATTCTATATTCAAATTCCATAAGCCAGTCAAGACTGACAAAATGATCACATTCAGAAACAATACATAACAGCTACTTTGTCGACGAATTATAAAACACAGGAAATCTTTATTTGAACGTGTTGGTCATGCTTCAAAGTTCATTTTTGATTAATAGAATACATTTTTCACGAGTTTGAGATTGTACGGTTACTTGTTAAATACAACTTCTTCCAAAATGTTTTTGATGTAAATTATATTCTTATTTTGTGGAGGTATTGACTAAAATTATTTGATAGTGCTTTAATTCCGGCTACTAAGCAGTTTCATGAAACACATCACTATTTAATCTCTTTATTTAAAAACGTTTTACACTTTTGTACCTTAGCTGAATCAGCTGACTGTGAGAGCTGGTTTGTGAACTCTGTCCGCACTGCTCCCGGCCACAGACTGACGAACGCCACATTGTGGCGCCTCAGCTCAACAGCACAGTCCGCCGCCATTCTGTCGCACTGTTGGGGAGAAACAGCCGAGCATGACCGGCAAAATCGAATAGTTATTCATTATATTTTTCGCAAAATATTTTTCACGAGTGTGGCTAATATTTGATATTTTTCACGATTGCGCAGCACGAGTGAAAAATATCAAAATATTAGCCACAATCGTGAGATATATCTGTTATTACTGAAGACACCATTAGATATCCTCTATATAGGAATTAGTGGGTTTTGACATTCACATGTTTGTATGATTGAAGAGTAATATCAGTATAGTTCTAGAGGTTGTTTGTAGTAACGATACAAGTCTTTTAGTTATAGAGAGTGTTTGATTGAGTGACAATATGTTGATTGAAAACATTGGAATGGTTCTAATGAGAGTTTGAATGAACGGTAATATTTGTATAGTTTAAGAAAAAGGTTTAAGTGAGCGGAAATATATATGTTGTTCAAGATAAGAGAGCACGGTAATATTAGTATAGTTCTAGAGTGGTTTAGAGCGAGCGGTTATACATCCGCCGTGATATTGGTATAGTTGTTGGGATGAGTAAGCGGTAATAGCTTTATAGTTTTTTTAATAGCTTGAGTGACCGGTAATGTATAGTTCTGGATAGGGGTTGACACTTACAGCTTCCTTACCCACGCCGTACGGTATGTTAAATAGGTATTTTAGTCCTCCCCCGGACGAAACATTGACTATCAGTCCTGACCGCCGGGGAACCATCAGTCGTGCCGCGTGGATAGCGCACATGTAGTGGTTCCTGTGTCATAAAGTAAAATCAAATGCTACGGTTATGAGATCAACGTCTATAAGCTTTCAAATGAGATCAAATGAGATCAGTAAGTATTGATATAAGATCAAAAGTTATTATCAGATCAAAGGCTATTAATTGAAATGTTATCAGATCACAATTTAATGGTCATAGATCATCTATCATGCTCTAAGATCAAATATTTTTTGTAAGATTAGATACTATTGTTGAAAGGGAAAATGTTTAGGTATAAGAACCGATAGGATATCATAAGATAAAATGTGATTCCTATCAGACGAAATGTTATTGTTAAAGGAAATTATTCCAAAAATGAAAATAAGAATGGAGGTAATCCCGTATTATTTCTCTCGCAGTTTCTTTCGACTAAAATCTGTATATCAGCCTGTTCTATTTCTGCACAAGATAGGTTTTAAAGGAAATGGCACCTATTTCTTCTTGTCAGTTATGAACATGGGCAAAGTGATCAGACTTTTCATAAAAGGATTTTCAACAGAGTCAGCATCAATGACTCTTAATGAGAACTGAAGAAGCATATAAAGTTCGAAAGCAAAATCTAAAAATAGTTCCAGTACCTCAAATATCTTATTGATAATTATGTTTTTGATGTGAAGAATTCCAAGGACTCAATAACTGTAAAATCAATCCATTGAAAAAATTACTCGTACTTTTCAGTCAGTCAGAAACACACACATATCTCCTTGAATGAATCATTGATAAATGCTATTTCAACACCCCTTGTATAGAATTTATTGCAATGGGTTCCAATCAAATAGGCTGTATAGCCAACTGTTGAGATGGGTTATATTAAGATAATGTATTTCTTTAACCAATGTAAAAATCGTCTGTATAAATTGAAAGGTAAAATCTGATTGATACACCCTTCCATCTTTCCCCCATCGTTGTCCTCCCTGTACGTGGATGATAAACTATGTTAAAGTGATTGCGTTATCTCAGGATTGATGTCTACAAAACGTTAAACTATCAACCGACGGGCCACAGAAAAACATTCTCCAAGTGTGATGGAGTGCATAACAGATAGAAGAGTAAAAATCAAAACACGAGGAACGGTATGTGGAATTTGGTCCGTCATGTATTTTTGTTCTACAAGTTGTCAAAAATTAGACGTGGAGCCTGATGTTTTAGTTTCGAATATCACATAGCAGAAAATTTTAAACATCAACATATCGGTGAATATTTGCAAAGGAACACAGCATTAGTTTTGAAATGGACCAGGTTGTTTAAAGGCTGTGCAGCTTTACGTGTTTTTTACGTACAAATAATTATTTACCAATTTTACAATTTTAATAAATAATATCACATATTATATCAGCCGTGGTAACGTCATATATGATAACGCGATAACGTCATATGATCACAGGAATAGAAAATGTGGTTGTATTTGTTCTTATTGCGGTCAAATTTCTGGCAAATTGTATCAGTTGCGTGACGCATGTGAGAAAAAGGATCTCAAACTCGTTCCTATGTTACAAATGACGCTTATTACATATAATGGATGTACAACGAGCACAAATTTTAGAATCTCTTTTGTATACAAATAGTATTCTTATGAAATTATACAAAAGTCAGTATTGGTGATGAATAACAACACTTCAACTAACAGCGATACTAGGGGTAGATCTAGTCCGGCTTCGATCAACTGGTCATGTCCTTACCTCAGTCCGACGATGTTAACAGTGTCCCACATCGACATGGGTTGTTCCCAGAAAGACTTCCCCTTGTTTTCGGATATCATCTATTAAAAGAAGTTGTGTAGAGTAAATTGACGATGGAATCAAGAATTGTAACAGATTTGGCGCCAGTTATTACCAGAGAAGATTGCATTTGCAATATGAATTAGATTTTAATGAATTTGTCAATATGAGTCAAAACGATGATGCTATCTTACGGGATATACCACCATGTCCATACTAATGTGATTTCTTTTAGATCAGTTGAAGTTTTATCAGATAAAAGTATTTCAATTGATGATCTTTCAATAAAATGGTTCATATATTGTGATGTTCTAGTTGTTAAATATTATATATATACATGTCGGTAATGCTATATAGAAAAATATTTCAACACTATTATTGCATATGTTTGTTTTCCGTTTATATCGCAACTACTAATAGTTGGCATGTGATTTATCTGATCGTAAAATCGCATGGAACTTGAATTTGTTATCGAAGCTTAACAGTTGTTTGTGCATAACTGGGATATACACGTTGAGCGAATGCAAAGTGAATCTCTGGTGAACGAGTACAGAAATACTTGTTCGAAAAATTAAGGAGGCATACAATACATTACTTTAGAAATCTACAGTAGATTGTTAACTTGATCAATCATCTGCAGTAGAATTATGACTTCAGAATTCTACAGTGGAATTGTAAATTGTGAAATCTACAGTGAAATAGTGACTTGAGAAATCTACAGTAGAATAGTAATATAAGTAATCTACAGTATTCGTGTTTGATAACCAACAACAATGGATTATCCTTTAACACGTCCCTCCCTCTTTGTTCTTACCCTATTAATAATTTATAATTCCATATATCAGTCATACCTTAACGGCCGCGTAAGCATTGTTGACCAACAGGTCCAGCTGACCATTTTGTTGTTTTTTAATGGTGTCGAACAATTCAACAATGTCGTCATCATTCGAGTGATCACATTGTACAGGGATACATCGGCCTCCTCGTTCTTCTACCTTTTCAAATCACAAATCACAGGTACACATTACATTACATTTTGCCCTTCCTCTATCGTCACAAATCGCCAGGTATAAATTACATTCCGCCCTTCCTCTATCGTCACAAATCACAGGTATTAATTACCTTACATTTACTCTTCTTCTATCATCACAAATCACAATATCAATTACATTACATTTTGCCCTTCCTGTATCGTCACAAATCACAGGTGTTAATTACATTACATTTTGCCCTTCCTGTACCGTCACAAATCACAGGTATTAATTACATTTCATTTTGCCCTTCCTGTGTCGTCACAAATCACAGAGATGAATTACTTTACACTCCCTCCTTCCTATACCTACAGGAATCGGGTAGAAAGTGTAATTTAAACAACGTCATGGTAAACACGAGATGCAAAAGGTAAATTCAACCATTTGCAAACATATCGTAATAAAGCAGTTATTGACAGCATCACTAACTAAAATCACAGTACTTTAAACACAAGTAATGGCAGCCTTGTTATTGTTGATATGCTAATGTATTAATGGAATTGTAAACATATAGCTGCAAACAGGTAATTACAAACAAATAGTTCAAATCGGTAATTGTAAACAAGAAATTGAATAAATTTAAAAGCAAATTTATAAAGGATATTTTTGTTTACCTCCCGTGCTGTGTCTGTTAGAGATCCTGTCACGTCACCAGAACTAGTAAGGGTCCTGCCTGTTAGTTTAATAAAGGAAAATGATTATGAAACCGTTATTGCAGAATTTGTTAGTCAACATAATGCAGCAGAAAGTCTATGGACGTTCTATGGAATTTTGATAAATAAACCAGTTGACATGGTACATGTTTAACCTATCAAGAATACAACAGAATAAAATAATCATAATGTCAAAGTACAAGTGTAACGTCCGCCCTTCCGGAAATGCCTATACAGATAATCAGATGGCAATATCACAAACTGAGAAATCAAACCTTTCTAAAGTGCATTCTTAATCAAACATATCATCAATAACACTGAAGACAACTTAAAAACACGAGAACCTACTTCATCATGTCAGGTGTTGAGGTTATTACGGGAAGAGTGATGGTGTACAGATAACAAACAGCTAATTTACCTGTGATATATACAGGTTATGAACAGGTAACTTACCTGTGATATATACAATGGCTCCAGCCTTCCCTAACTGTAGGGCGATACCTTTCCCGATCCCACGACTAGCTCCCGTCACAACACACACCTTCCCCTTTAGAGACATTGTAAAATCTTGTGTCTTCTTTCACTCACCTGGTATCGGCCTCAGTAGGCAGCAGACTCCCTATAGTTTCTAAGTACGAATAATGTACGATGTTTAATGGTCATGCAATCAATAGACTAATATTGATAATAAATCAATTAATTAGCATGACATAGTTGACGTCACGTTGGCAAATATATTGCGTAGTTAGAATGTCTCCATTGGATATGTATCTTACGCCGTTATAATAACTTATTCGTGCTATAATGAGACATTTGTCGTCTAAAATGTCACCAACTGGTACTATTTGTTTACGACAAACAAATAATAAGGTTATTTTTAGATTCAAGGATGAATCATCTAATGTATTGATAACTTTTACACCACTTTGAGTAAGTTGTCAATAACAGAACGTAAATATGACAGGTCTCGTTAACGTCACTTTCTATAATTAACCTTCTAACGTTGATGTGCATATGGAGCGTATATACTCTTGTATAGAAAATATGTATAGAATATCTCCCTTTTCTAAAAATTGTTTGCAATAAAACCATTTAAATATATATACACCAACCTGGCGGGTATTTTTACAGTGTATAAACCTTTAAACAGGTATTTCACTTGTGTATACACTCAACGGAGGCTTGGCGAAAACTATTCGTCCTCTACATATAAAGGGTGTTTTTGTGAATCAAACATTTTAAGGTCAGTTAAAAGTTTCATATTATTTAACACGGTACATCACCAGATCCCGGTAACTTGGGTAAATTGTCTTTACCTACCTCAAACCAAGTTAGTCCATCGATCAATTCTGCGTTAACATCTCACCAAACAGGTATGGTGTAGTGACCAAGGTGTGGTGGAGTATTCCTTAGCTTGAAACTGGAAACAGCGTAACGTATACTGATATTCATGGATTTTTCCTTTACAATATTTCACGGAATACCGACGACAGAGCTAATTTAACACTGCACATACACGTACAAATGCATTCACTTGAAGAGTGCCTTATATTTCACAGAAAAATACCTTCCCGCTTAACTCCGTTGTGAGTGTGTCTTGTGGCGACTGATACGGACAGTACAGTACGCGAGGTCCTCTTTACTGAAGGATAGACATTTAAATCACAAAAATAGAGAGCATTCACAAGGTGTATCACTGAATGATTAATCATAATACTCTCTCTCTCTCTCTCACACACACACACACACACACACACACACGCGAAAAAATGAAAGTCTTCAATTATTATCAACAACGAAGGTAAGTTTGTAGGTCTATGAAAACGTTTCGGAAAGTATGGTGATCTTTAATCTATCGTATCGAATTTTAAAATATGATTTTTTCCTTGTGTGTAATCGCTGTTGTATATTTCATACTATTATGTTGACGCTGTGGTTTTTTTTCTATTGCTATACTACGTAATTGTAATGGGAAGAAAGGTAATGTCTTTGATAGATCACCTGACAATGTCTAGACGTCTGTATTATAAGCGGGCTATAGGACTGTATTAGCTATGTTTATAATAAACGAAAGACGAAAACAATATTGATATAGTAATATCATACATGTTTGTAAATGACATGTAGCATTATATTATGGCATGCTATTGAAGAATAAAATGTTACAATATATGATAGTTTCTGATCATTTACGTTAAACATGAAGGCTCAAGATGTAAACATCATCTCACAGAATCCTCTTGATTTAGTATGAAAAAGTTAGCGATTGGTTTATATTAGTAAAAGATGTGTGTCATTATTGTGTATTATAGTACTTATTATTTTAAGTGTCAATTATTATACGTAATTCAAAACATATGTTAGAAGACATTGCTATAATAACACTGTGTATGCTATTTACGAAAAATTAACCTTCGCGATTGGTTCCAGTCATTATTATACAGGCATAGTTATGTGATGAGATAGCTAGAGTTATAATTCTAGCTGCCCCTCAGTGAAAGGTATTCCACAGACGAATCCTGGATTCTGTTGAAAAGAATTGTCATAAGAAAATAAGAGTGTGACATTTTCCGTTTGACCAGTCGTTAACTGGGATCTTGACATCTTGTGCGGCGGTTCCTCCCGTCCTTGTAGTAAGGATTTGTACTCTCGCCTATCTTAAGGAGTTCTTATAAGCTGCTACACTGTAACAACTTGTGTTCAGTTCTCGTGCTTAATATTTGAGTCATTAAAGTAAAGGATACATAAAATGTAATTAGCTACTGTAATAGCAAAAAAGGTTCAACTTTTTAGAACTTCTGAGCGTATCCTCGATGATGCATATTCTCCTTTTTATATATACGCACAAAAAGAGATGTTTTTTAATTCCCTCATCAGTGTATTCATAACCTATCTAAATGACCACATTCATTATATTTGGATTACAACTTTGGTAAAGTGTAATAGTGGCAGCGGAAAGTTCCCGAGTTCGACTCCTACATGCAGTTTTCGATTGTTCTTTTATGTTTTCTAATACTCGAATTTCGAACAGCTATAATTCTGTAAAAAGAACCATCTCAATATGTGGTTTATAAGAAATATCTGAGTACAAATAACAAATGTTTCATGGTCGCGATTATGACAATAATGTATGTTATGATTTACACTCTTTGCATGACAAAGGAAACAGACGTTTTCGAAAGCTCGCAAAAGAAGTATTAAGTTCCTCAATGTGTAAGCCTTTAACCTTTAACTTAGTTGCCTGTGTTGTTTAACATGTGTTAGCCGTTGATAAAAGGGAGTGTACTCCTACGGATCTGTGGTGTGTCTCGTTCCTATTATACCACGTGAAACTTAAAACTGCATAAGCACATATATATACACCATAAACATTATCTCCGAAACTCTTCAGGTTTCTTAGCTTCTTTTGTCAGACTGTTGTCATTAAAACGCTTTGCGTTGACCGAAATAACTCTGGGTTGGGTCCTTGTTTGCTTGTTGGCACGGAACTTTTTTGTCGGTTGGTAGGTTTCGTTACTGTGGCTAGTATCGCTAATTGTTCAAACACACGTGTATCAAAAGGTTATATAATTAGCATTTTTCTAACGTCTTTATATCCCGTATTGTTAAAAATCATATTTAGTCAATTTGCATTCAATTAACATAAAACAATAAAACAATTTGTTGAATAAGATAATTTATGATGTTCGTGTTGTTTTCTATTGCGTACATATTTCATTTGTGTCTTTTGTAAAGAGACTGTGACCTTTTTTTAACAACAAAGAAGGAATTTGGATTTTTATAGAGAATCTGTCACCAGTGTTTATCTGATATAATGTATTTGGTTTTAGTTTTGTTTGGGATTACAGTTTTACGCTCTCAAAACCATCCTCACTGGTGCCTAGAGACACTACCAAAACGGGTGCAGCAGAGAATCAAAGAAAATAAAGAGGTCTCAGGTGTTAATGAATGAAATATGATTAAAATGTAATAAATCAGGCAGTAGCCAATTACGAGGCAACATTATATCCTGGAGTAACGTTAAAATAAAGGTCGTGTGACGTAATACAATCACCGATGGAATTCTCACCTCATCTCTACATCAGCTACTTATTCATCTCTGCTTATAATTCCTATGTAATAAAAACACTAACCCATAGTCTGACTTGATAGTGATAGTGTTTATTTAGCAACAAGTGTAAGTTACATCAATTTGTCTAATACAATATAGTCTCTTGATGTGTTTTAGTAAAGACGTGTGTTATTAAAAAGATAACCATGATTTAAAAGATTTCATGGTTTGTATGGATTGTGTCACGTGTTCTATATAACTGGTATAACTGAGCATAGGCTACACCCGACAGAAGCCACTAAACCATTGGCAAGAATATTTTACTATCATTATTACGACGACCATATGAAATGAAACCGACAAAAGCTCTGCTGCAAAAAAAATCATAGCGAGAAATTCTACCAAAAATACTACAAGATTCTTTCTTCAATGTTCAACAGTCCCTCCTTTCTACCTTCCAGGACTCTTTGTATCCAAACCCTATACAACAGCACAATCCTTCACAATTAAAATGGTTCTGCATCTTCACATTTGGATAACTTTTCATCATAGCCTGTCGACCATAAATTGTTTATCTCTCTCAACTTTCCTTAAAATTATTTATTTTTCAATAAAACAAGTAACTCTCACAATCAAAACAGTCTATATGTTTTAAAAACAACAAATGTGAAGAAAAAATAGATAAGGACAGGCTTGACAACCTAGTGTTTTCTGTATGTGATTTCAAACAAATCAAAAACACAGATTATCTAACATATACGTATTGATTTGTTGTTTGCTTTTGAATCCCAACTACTCAACTACGAGTGTTTACATTACTAAGATAACGACCCGAAAAGTAAACCACAACGGTGGCTTTTGTGTTCATCTCAAAACTTCCTAAATCTTATCTTGACAATTATTGCTTGTGTTTCTTGTCATCAAATGTTTGTCAAACTGTTAACATGTACGCATGTAGTTGTGGCTGTAAATCAAATTTATCCTGATAAAATAAGCTATGCATAATTTTCTCGTACTAATTGGTAAATAAATTATGACTTTACAGACGGATGTTAAAGCTTTGTTAAAGTAGCACAACCATACAACACCACTGTGTATCATATTAGGCCAGGAAAATCAATACGGTAAGGTCCCAGCATCCAAACAGTTTAAAAATCATTGTATGCTGCAATAAAAACGGAGAGAATAGTTCCAAGATTTGTCAGTCTAAAATCATGCTCGCTCTTTGTAGTTGCATTACAAAATCTGAATGAGTTGTGTGCACATTATCCCAGAAGTGCTGACGTTTCACTCGGTTTAACCAAGCCTCAACTTGGGGCCACATCTTGAATTTGAATCCTGTCCACTCCAATAGCACCAACACAGTTGCCACTGCCGTATCGGCTAGAGTCAACCGACTTCCAGTCAAATATTTATCCATTGAGTTTTTGAAGTACTTTTTCTCGATGATTTCCAGGTGTTTTGACACCTGTCTGAGTCCGTGTTCGATCATTGACTCGTTAGCCTCCTCCGGCGACAGTGCGTACTTCTCCAGGAATTGTGGGTAGATGTAGTTGTACCCTATCGCCCTGTAGAAAAGAAAAATACCTTAACATCAGCAAGTTGAAAAGGAAGATTATTGAAATAATTTGTGTGGTATTTCAAACAATTAAATGTTTGTAATTGAGTGACTTAATGAAACATTGCTGATGTATCTGATTAGCCGAAAAAAACACCACTTATGTTATATATATGTTATCAGAGAAACGTGAATATGTATATATATGTTTGTATATCATCAACAAAACTCGATCATTTATTGCTACCATAAGTAAGATACATGTAACGATTTCTATGGGAGGCACTAACTATTGTCTCTTATCACGAGACACATTCTAATCGAATCAGAATTAAGTTTTTTTACCTGAACGGGATGTTTTGTTTTCACACCATGTGATTGGATTGTTATTTTACTTTAATGTATTAACGAACAAGTGGTAAAACTAGAAATTAACTTAATCAGGACGTTGTTTGCATTATTCTCTAGATACAGTTTCACTTACAAATGGTAATTTATTTTGATAAGGTGTCGAAAAGGAACAGTTTGCCGAAATATTTTTGGTGATAATGGTGATGTTTTTAGCAGTTCCCTGTGATATCTAAATGTTGCATGATTTATTTCATTTGTTTCTCCTTTTTTACAATATTACTTTAATATGTGCTATACCCAAAATAACCACTTAGACTAGTTGGCTATGACGATGACCATTTACTCGACTTACCTGTGAAGTTCGCCAAAGGCCCAGCTGATAATGGACTCACTACTCATCTGTTGCTGGAGACTCAGGCCAAACCCGGCGTAGTCGGTGTACCGCATCGCCAGGTACCGCAAAATGGCGGGGCTGAAAGTGAAGATAATCAGTCAGTATTTGGGGAGACAATCAAGGTATGTCTTTTTCCAAATCAATTCCTACTTAAGTTGGACTCAATGCAACTATCAAATGTAACCCGTTTCATTTGCCGATGAATTTGACCAGATTAACATTGCCTGTGCGTTTGATTTTGCGAAGGGAGATAACCATTGCCATGTTTAAACAAAGAATTTTTATTGAAGCTACACAAGAAATTGTTTAAACAACCAAAAACGATCAATCAGCAAAATAGTATCAGCTCACGGTTGCTATCGGTAGTAACAAGTCATGTGCTGCCCTAGAAATTCTCCATCCAGCTTCCTATTCTGCCTATTGTGTCAGTATCAATCCCCGGTACAAATCGAAAACTTATATCAAATGCAATCGACCAGCCCACTGCCATATCAAAGTATTCCTTCCTTTCAAGCAACGTCTGGTGTCCTGTCTAATGCGCCATTCAATTACTGCAGCTTCTCATTCCAGAAGATGGAGAACCTTGAAATTTAGCTGCTCTCCACATTGAACTAGTAAAAAGATGGATGCCGTAGACTCGCAGCTGAGCCTGTGCGCCAAGTCTAGATATTATTCTTCCCCGATGACGCGTCAGAAAATTTGATATCTTATGAATTCATCAACAAAAAATAAATATGACATTTAAAATATGGTTTTGTGGTTTTTTCTACATTGTTTGACTGTATTAAACTATCAACGTACACCATCACGTAGACTTGCACAAGCTCCAGAACCTGGGACAAACTATCAGAATTGACTTCACAAGTTCCAGTTATTTTAAAAACACACGTTGATTGGAAAAAAAGGTTTGAATCATGCTTTGGTATATTTCATGGGGTGATGAATTGAGTTGGTGTTGAAACAAACTTGCAGTTCATTAAATTTGTTTCAAGACCAACTCAATTCATCACCCCATTAAATCGACCAAAGCAAGATTCAATCCTTAAATAAAAGATGTTTTGAGGCACTGAAAACGTAACATCATTTCTGTGTATATTGGCAATGAACTTATAGCTATTTAAGGAGGGGCGAAAAGAAGGGAAAGAATATGATAAAGCGACGATGGTAATGGTTAGATGACAATTTCATAATACAAGGTGATAAGAGACGGACCAGAAAACAAGGCGAATTTATTTTACGAAATGCTATTTATTTTTGTTTTTACATAAGCAAACAGAAGAAGATGTGTGAAATCCGTAAAACGCAAACTTCACAAGTATAAATTGTATTTGACATCAAGGATTAAATGGCCATATATTATGTTGTTGTGTAGTCAGTATAATGAGATGCTGAGTTTTGGAAATGAACACATTACACACACGTTTAATATTTTCAATGATTAATGTTGTCATCAAGTGCAGGCCTAACTAAACATGTATACTTATGATTATATTGTGTAACCCATCTCACTGATACACAATAGAATATGTCACTACTTCATATCATTGTGGTAAAATGTTTTAACAAAGATCGGTATAAATGTTGGACAGAACGTTCATATCGAACATTGGTTTTGAAGGTACGTCTGGGGGATCCTTCTGACAACGCGGATGAGCAAGGACTAGCAAACAAGTAACTTAAGAATGTAATAGGAAGTGGAATTTCTTTTTAAACATAATTGGATTCAAAACACCTGACACTTCTGATTCATTAATTGAGAAATCAGAAGGTCGAACTTTACAAAAGAAATGCCCTTTCAATGTTTAATATTAGAACCTGATAATATTACATGAAGCTTACAGACATACCTATATATGTTTATAACCTATATGATTTATTCTTTATTTGCCATTAACAAAACATCATGATAAGTTGTGATCATCATATGGTTCAGAGCTGTCTGCCTATTGTCAGGGTCGTATACAATCAACAGAGGGCAGAACCTTCACCTGCATGTCTTAGGAAATACAGCGTTACAGTATACGAAGGGTGGGAGTCTATTCAAAGCGGGACACAACAACGTAATAGATATATCCCATAAGTCTGTTCTGGCATTACATCAACTCAATTTAATGTTTTAGATGATAAAATATTATATAATTACTACGTAGAAATATGAGTTCTTATATTATTTATTGTACGCTGAGCTGTGACACACTAATTTAAAAAAAATGAAATTGAGCTTTTGAACTAGTTTATAGCCAACCATACTGTGTACTCGAAACAGTAATAATCATCGGATAAAGTGGTCCTTAAAACTCTACAGAATACATTGAAAAGTGTATTTAATTAGATCGGCGCGCCTTGTGGATTATTGATACTCTATATTGATCACGGCATTGTCTGTCCTGACATTTAAGCATTGGATTGTTTTTGTATGGTATATTTATATGATATATTTGAATGACACAGCTTTGCAATCAAACAACATAATGAGCGCTAGCGCATTATGATTTGTTTGCTTGCAAAGCTTTGTCATTCAAATAGATTATAAATACCATACAAAAACAGTTCAATACTTATATTTACGTTTTCTCTACCTCCTATGGGTTTTTTTTAACTTATAATTTATATTTAAAATTAAAAATGCCGTCCACACAATTTCGTTCAATAGTTTGAACAGCGTATGTTCGCGTGCTGATTGGCAAACAAAGTAGTACTTTGAAATTTTAACAAACACTTCAATTTTATTCGACAATTCAGTATCAATACAATTGCGTATGATATGTTTATAGGGTGACTTAAGTTTATCAATAAAACTCTGAGCTGAAAGTTAGATTTGAAATTTTGATTTTTCCCCGGAGCAAATTTCGGGCATGGTAAACACCGTAAATCCGACCTTGACCTCCACGAGGGAGTTATTTTTGGAAGTTAATTCGAACTTTTCTCTTTGCTCATTTTGTGAAGAATCCAGACGTGAATTTAGTTGTTGATTGTATGGGAATCTGACTACAGTCGGTAGATTCTATAACAGCCTCGTTATTTGACATGTCGCCAGAAACTGCGGAAACCGTGGCTGCGAGACGCGTGAAACTGATAGCGTTTGAAGTGAGTGATTTTGCGACGGAGCACAGGGCCGTCAGGGGTTCGTTACAAATGTCTGAAATGTTTATGTGTGCTTTGACTCATATCAGTAGGTCTGTAACATATGTGTCAGTAGGTCTATAGAATATGTGTATTTCAAACATTTGAAAGAACCCCTGTTGATCAATGCAGTGTAACGGACGATATTTCTGATAAATTGCATGAGTGTTAAAATCGTTTCCATTGCCGGCATTGGTGATTTCAAACGATGTGCATTTTGTACGATATTGCAGACATTGGTCTTGTTTTTGTTGTAATAAAAGTATTTTTTATTTACTTTTTTCTTTTGTACATAAATTTACAATGACATTGTCAAGTCTCACAATGCCCAGCGATATTTCAGCAGCCGTCATGTTTATTTACATTGGACATTGTAGTTCCGGTCAGTGTTGTATTAATACGCTAAGAATTGTGTCTCGTCATATGGAGAAATGACGGTCACTTTGCTAATTTGCATAATCCGTCATCTTGGATAAAATGGCGGCCATTTGGCCCATTGGGTAACACTATAGACTTTAAGTTTTTGCGTTTATCGGTTGAATAGTAATCCAGATATTATTTGGCGGGATGTCAAATTTTCCTACACACCGTCTAAATATTGGTTACAAATTAATTAGCGCGATCAATTAAAAACTCGAGGTTCCTGGAGTAGATGAACTTTTGAAGCGAGGGCGCCTTATATGTTCTATCCAATCTAATACTGGAAAACGACCAAATAGCCATTTTCTGCACTTTCGATCGAATTTTTCGATTCTGTCTCCATGACCTAGATAAGTTGCCGAGATTCGCTCGGTAACTTCCGGTTTAGAAAAACAATTTTTGAGGTGTTTAAAGATTATTTGGAATATCCGAGGTTCCTGGAGCAATTGAAAAGTGGATTTTCTTAAATTTGACATAAAATCAGAGGGGCACCATAGGGGATTATGTAAAAACATCGTATTCTTCTGAAAATGAAAGGAGTCTCCATGTTTTTGTGACACTCTCTCGACTTGAAAGAGGCACCAAAAGGATTCATTTAAAATATTTACTTATTCAATCCTTTCAGATAAACTGAATTTGATATATATTACTGTGGGTAGAATTACAAGAATGCTATTGTACACGAATGGCCACGTGATTCGAAAAACGTAACTTACACCTTCTCACTGATCTTACATGTTATATGTAAATTATTTAATATTTCTTTTTAGGTATTTTTTTTTCCAGAACATGCCGTGACATAAAGTGTGTCCCCCGTTTCAGACAACGTTGTTTAATAAATGTGTAGACAATCTTTTATTCTAAGTTGGTATCACATATGAACGTACATGTACGTGCTCGATCACCTAATCATTTTTATATGTCAAAATAGGAGCAAAAACGGATTTTCAGGACGAAAAGTTAAACCATAATGATACATGTACTTGAAACTAAACGATATTTTTTAATTGATAAGTCAATCCGTCTGCCTTATTGTTGAATGAAATATGTAAATTTATCAGTCGTTCCAACTAACTATATCAAATTCAACATTTGAAAAAGAACCGGTATTCTGATACATATATTTATATATAAATTTAATCCTTCTCTCCGGGATAGTCTGGTTCACGTCTTGCACCCCTCATCTGTTACATATTAATATACATAGTCCTCAGCATATTAAGTAACATCCGTCAGCCCGTGATTATTCTTTCCTTATTGTTTTACTGTACTACTGCAATATATATGAGATTGCAATCGTCATATTTGGTCTTGTTTTAATCTAATTATGCAACTTTTTTAAGATACCACACCTTTTAATTTTGTACACAAGTTTGATCACAACTTATAGGCTATAGATTCACTAGTTGGAATTTTAGTTTAATACCAATCGTTTAGTTGAATTACATTAACCCTTCGGGGGCCCCTTGAACTTTCGCAAATTTCTGATTTTAAAATACCAGTAGTTTATATAGTGTAGACGTAATAAGTACTAAATGCACATTGGTTATGCTCCTTCATCGGTAGTATAGAATGTGCGAGAATGACAGCTGTCTGGCTATATATTCTATATTTTTCCTTATATTAAGAATTTGTGTAACTCCCGTTCCCATTGTCTTTGATAAATCTCATCCAATGTGACCAGTTGGTTAATTTTATTCTACAGAGTTGTCTTAAAATAACTAAAATTAGTCTGGGATTTTTTTCTCTCTCTGTGGGTTGCCATGGTGGCGCGGAAGACCACGTGATCAAACATGCTCCGCCCCTCATTAATATTCATGAGGAAAAGTGGCCCTCATTTCTCCACATGTGCTACATGGTAATTAAAGTCCCATCAACGACACAGCTTTCAAAGAGGCTATATAGTGACAATGCCATGCAAATGTAAATATATGACTTTTAAATCACCCTAAAGACGCCGTGTAGATTCTCGGAGGGTTGTTAGTCTGAGGTGCCGTGGAAAGGACGTAAACTTAGGTCTGACATTATAACACCTAGCCCCCGTCCTCATGTCCAACTGCTAGTTCAAAACAGCATTCATACTTTCTGGTCAAAATGATTTCTTTTCAGAATTCTATAATTGTATATTTAAAACCCCATTATCTCCGCTAATCCCCCATGTTTTTCAACAATTCGCCTCTTCAATTAACGTTGGAGTACTATGGAAGAATATGTCAAACTGAAATTTATTCTATTAAGATAACAATTTCACGCCTGACGGATTAACAAATTAAACTTTATCCAAAACGATCTTGAACCAACTGAAAGTCAAGACGCCATTCATTGTCGGAACCTTGTCAAATCATCATAAATTGATCGAAATCAGGTTAACAACTTTGGCACGGCCTACAGAGTATTGAATAGGGATATTATACACGGATTTTCTCCATGTGGTATCCGGGAACCCCAAATGCAAATATCATGACAACAGTAGCCATTTGATATTAGACGCCGTTATATTTTTTATGTAAATGTTATTGCTAGACCAGAAGCTAGGGGGATACCTTGGGTGACAGTATCAGAGCAGTAAAATGCGTTTCCACAAATGTTCAATATACAGTAGATTCAAACATTTTGGAAACAAATAATCAACTTTGGCCACGAGCGCCTTTCGTTAATTATTTTCCACATTTTCTCATCCTCGTTATATATTCCTGCATCATACACACACATATGTTGATTATTTCTTTAAAATAGAGACATAGTAACATAGGGCAACATTACGGATAAATCTGGATATGCAAATAAAACCTAAACAGAGGTAATCTCATATGGATAATATCGGACACCCGTGGTTGCTATATTGGAACAAGGAATAACAACTTTTGAAATATGAGCCTTTCAATGGTAACGAGCACGTAAGTGAATGTAGATTTGGTACGGATTTGATCATTGTCAGTCATACAAATATGTTTACTATAAATTAAACGTGTCCATATACTGTACCACGGGTTAGATAGTTAATGGGACTAGCGAGGTATTATCTACCTGTACCGTAGACAACAATTACAGTCACGGGTTGATTACAAAGTGTACACGATCTATTCAAAGGTATGACGAGAGCATAAGAAATTGTTCCACTGTATTTCATTTCCGTTGTAAACATAACCGAGTAAGCGATGTAAGCAGGAAGTGACATAACGTTAGTCTGACCGTTCCGTACCTGAACTTATCCCTGTCGGACAAGTACATATCGTCTGTCTTTAATGGATTTGACAAGCTACATTGATTGTTAAAAGCAATAAAACTTTCCTGAAATTGATCCGGTCTTTGCTCTTACGTTTCAAACTTTTTTTTCGTAACATTCCTGATTTGATGACGAATCGATAGGTAAATAAATGGATGTTGACTACAATCGTAGACAGCAGATTGACATTTGTTTTGCATACGACAAAATCCTGTGTGTTCTGAATGAAATATGCGTTTCTTACGCGTTCGACGCGTTTTAGGTACTACTGGTTAAGCGTTCTGAGAAACACAGCTAGCTGTTAACAACAAAATGGAGTTGACGAAGTTTTGGTTTAATGTTGGGGTAAACAAATGAAGGCTTTCAGTGTCATTTCTTACTACTGCTCTCTTTCTCTCTTTCATAACAATCCGGCAATGTGACATTGGAATATAATGGAAAAGTGTGCTGCGTACTAACAACTACTGGGCACATCACATCTTCAATATCAATCTGACTGAAAACATTAAATGTGTGTACACCTGCTAATGACGAACAGATAGTTACAATGTACCACACACGTACTTCTGAACACGAATTATAACACATCTGATAGTCGTAAACGACGTTGCGTCCTGCCATTGGGTCAAGGTAGATGGATACAAAGTAAGGTTGCCGTACACATCCCATTAAATGAAAAGCAAGGGGGACAACTCTCTACTGCAGTGAAATGTGTACAAAGTGTGCAATACTTACCCCTCAAACACAACCACCTCTCCGTCCACTAGGAGTGGCACTTCCTGATGAGGCTGGGACCGAAACACCGCGGGCAGATGCTCCGTCCCGTGGGAAAAGTCCACATCCACAGACACGTGTGGGATTTCATTCTGAAACCGGAAGTAGATTAAAGTGATTGGATGCTTGTTGTACAAGGCGTAATGTTTAATAAGCATGATGTCTCGTGGTAATTAAGGGATTGTTTATCAGGCAAATGTATTTTGTAAAACTTGCTTAGTCGAAAACCAATTCAATTTCAATGTACTAACTATTTAATAATTATTCCTTTGTTTATCGTTATTTTGATATTTACATGTATAAATCTAGTTTACATAAATATTTATTGCAAATCACGAATATAAATGTTGAACAAATTAGAAGTTTTAAAATATCTGTTTCCGGTTCTTCAGCTTTCAGTCTCGGACAACATCTGTACTCGGTACTTCATTTATTACCCTCCTTTCTGACAAAACATTCAACATAAACCTGGTCTATTGTACATGAAATTATAAATCATTACACACCTAAAGATTAACAACCATAGTGTAGTATTTTTTTTAACTTTTTATTATTTTTGACTTTTAACAGAGTTTAATAATCACACGTGAAGTAATTCAATGCGCTCATGTTTAAGTTTAATTTACAAACGACCAGTTTAAATTATGGCGTGTATAATGAACCAAGGTATCGTATTTCAGGATGACATGCCGAAAGTAAAGCGTCAAACCTAAGTGGTCGTGCATGTTTGGACAAAAATTCTGAATTTACAATAATACATGTTTAAACAACATACAGAACTACATTCTAAACCATTTATGTTTTTTACAAACGTATTTTAGCATGTACTCGACAATGACCGTTGCATGATCTTTGATCCAATATCGGTCGCACACATGTTTGATGTCAATGTATTCCATACCGTCTGTACAGTGGTTCCGACCAGCGTGCACTTTAACTATGCGCAAATAATATGTGGAAATATACATTCAAGTCACATCAAGAATTTCGCACTAGAATTCACACTGAAGTTAACATCGTATTAACATTTCCTGGTTCTAAAACTCGCTTTGAATTTGAATTTAAATACCCACATACAAATGACAATGTTAGAAAAAGTATTGATAGCGTGTCATGGCTAGTGCACATATTGCAGAGCTGACGATGAGCGTGAGAGTCGGACCACATACAGAGAAGGTAGACCGCACCTCATTGACAGGTGGTGTTTAAACCACTCACGTGCTGCAGGTATCATACCATGGGATTAAAGCAGGTAAACACCACTCCGACCCTCACGGAACGGCACACAAAACTGCACGTATAATATAACGGAATATCACAAGCAAATATTGGTTCGTCGTTTAAAAATATATTTTTTCAGTACGAAGAGAATATTTAGAAAGGAAGTGTATTATGAGGTGAAGTATATCACAAGGTTGACAGAATGTTGGTCAAATAAATGACAGGCCAGACCCGGATTTGATTATTTTATGCGACATTTTCGAATCCAAGTGATCATTTTTCACCATAATACCATACACTCACAACAAATAAATAATAAATTCGTTTTTTGCTTGTTTGTTAACACAAAAGTTGATATTATTTCATCAGCATTTTATTTGTATCTTCTGCGTTTCTAGAGAAGGCATCCAATGCACTCGCTTGTTATGGTACAGTATCTGATGCACTCGCTTGTTATGGTACAGTATCTGATGCACTCGCTTGTTATGGTACAGTATCTGATGCACTCGCTTGTTATGGTACAGTATCTGATGCACTCGCTTGTTATGGTACAGTATCTGATGCACTCGCTTGTTATGGTACAGTATCTGATGCACTCGCTTGTTATGGTACAGTATCTGATGCACTCGCTTGTTATGGTACAGTATCTGATGCACTCGCTTGTTATGGTACAGTATCTGATGCACTCGCTTGTTATGGTACAGTATCTGATGCACTCGCTTGTTATGGTACAGTATCTGATGCACTCGCTTGTTATGGTACAGTATCTGATGCACTCGCTTGTTATGGTACAGTATCTGATGCACTCGCTTGTTATGGTACAGTATCTGATGCACTCGCTTGTTATGGTACAGTATCTGATGCACTCGCTTGTTATGGTACAGTATCTGATGCACTCGCTTGTTATGGTACAGTATCTGATGCACTCGCTTGTTATGGTACAGTATCTGATACACTCGCTTGTTATGGTACAGTATCTGATGCACTCGCTTGTTATGGTACAGTATCTGATGCACTCGCTTGTTATGGTACAGTATCTGATGCACTCGCTTGTTATGGTACAGTATCTGATGCACTCGCTTGTTATGGTACAGTATCTGATGCACTCGCTTGTTATGGTACAGTATCTGATGCACTCGCTTGTTATGGTACAGTATCTGATGCACTCGCTTGTTATGGTACAGTATCTGATGCACTCGCTTGTTATGGTACAGTATCTGATGCACTCGCTTGTTATGGTACAGTATCTGATGCACTCGCTTGTTATGGTACAGTATCTGATGCACTCGCTTGTTATGGTACAGTATCTGATGCACTCGCTTGTTATGGTACAGTATCTGATGCACTCGCTTGTTATGGTACAGTATCTGATGCACTCGCTTGTTATGGTACAGTATCTGATGCACTCGCTTGTTATGGTACAGTATCTGATGCACTCGCTTGTTATGGTACAGTATCTGATGCACTCGCTTGTTATGGTACAGTATCTGATGCACTCGCTTGTTATGGTACAGTATCTGATGCACTCGCTTGTTATGGTACAGTATCTGATGCACTCGCTTGTTATGGTACAGTATCTGATGCACTCGCTTGTTATGGTACAGTATCTGATGCACTCGCTTGTTATGGTACAGTATCTGATGCACTCGCTTGTTATGGTACAGTATCTGATGCACTCGCTTGTTATGGTACAGTATCTGATGCACTCGCTTGTTATGGTACAGTATCTGATGCACTCGCTTGTTATGGTACAGTATCTGATACACTCGCTTGTTATGGTACAGTATCTGATGCACTCGCTTGTTATGGTACAGTATCTGATGCACTCGCTTGTTATGGTACAGTATCTGATGCACTCGCTTGTTATGGTACAGTATCTGATGCACTCGCTTGTTATGGTACAGTATCTGATGCACTCGCTTGTTATGGTACAGTATCTGATGCACTCGCTTGTTATGGTACAGTATCTGATGCACTCGCTTGTTATGGTACAGTATCTGATGCACTCGCTTGTTATGGTACAGTATCTGATGCACTCGCTTGTTATGGTACAGTATCTGATGCACTCGCTTGTTATGGTACAGTATCTGATGCACTCGCTTGTTATGGTACAGTATCTGATGCACTCGCTTGTTATGGTACAGTATCTGATGCACTCGCTTGTTATGGTACAGTATCTGATGCACTCGCTTGTTATGGTACAGTATCTGATGCACTCGCTTGTTATGGTACAGTATCTGATGCACTCGCTTGTTATGGTACAGTATCTGACGCACTCGCTTGTTATGGTACAGTATCTGATGCACTCGCTTGTTATGGTACAGTATCTGATGCACTCGCTTGTTATGGTACAGTGTCTGATGCAGGAAAAAGTTTCTAGGGAAGAACTTATCTCAACTCATCATGGAAACAGATACGTAAGGTCAATGTCACGTTTCTGAGGAAACAGCTTGTTGTGAAAACTTGTACTGATAGAGATAGGAAAATGTCGCGTTTCTAGGGAAACAGCTGCATCCTGTAACAGAAGTGTGTTGTTATACTAGAAACAGATAACGTTGTGGCAATACATACACAAAGTGACCTTGACCTTTCAGCCGTTGAGTAGATCTTCCTCGGGGGCAATAGTTGACATTATATATTCTCTTTCACGCAAACGATGTTCAATATAGATAACATTTTCACAATTACTTGAAATTGTATATACGTTATAATGTGGGCGTATCCTTATGGAGATAAGTACAAGTGTACTTTGATATATGTATGTTTCTAAAGATGTATCTGTACGTGATAAACAGTGGACTGGTTAGTGGAAGGTCACAGCGAGAGCACAGTTGTTTCACGGACAATAACGATTGAATTAAAGATCAAGACTTAAAGACATTGATTATATAAATCATATACATGTACCAGACATACACCAGCCTAATTCTACAACCTGTGGGGCACAACATATAGGTTCTATCATTCATGATGTCGTTATTCACAGGATTTTTTTTTATATACACAAATTACAGCATAACGTTAGATTATACAGGATGAAAAAATATCCAGAGGTCAAATATGACAGGATTATGGAAGCGGTCAGATTAAACAGGATGTAGTAACACACAGTGGTCAGATTAGACAGGATATAGGGACACTCAGGGGTCGGATTAGACAGGGTGTAGGAACACTCAGTGGTCAGATTAGACAGGATGTAGGAACACATAGTGATCAGATTATACAGGATGTCGGGACACTCAGCGGTCAGATTAGACAGGATGTAAGAACACTCAGTGGTCAGATTAGACAGGATGTAGGGACACTCAGTGGTCAGATTAGACATGATTAGACAGAATGTTGAATCATTTAGGGTAGGATTGGACAAGTTTCTCTGTATTTGTTATACTTTTCTCAGAATAGTTCGTGTACCCTTATACTCTGTGTAACCTTTTGACAGTGACCGTGTACCCTTTATTCACAATGTTTTATTGACGTAGATTGAACAGTCAGATTAATTAAATAAAAGGTTAAGATAAAATCGATCTATGAGTTTGGCGCCCAACACTTACTGGCACCATGTAAAACGCTAAACCAATGAGTGAAGCTCATGAATAAGAGGCGCAGCAGTTCAATGTCCAAAAGAAGTAGAGAAAAGGTCCCTCGTCTTTCTAGTTTTGATTTACTGATACTTTTCACGTTCGACAATGAACTTGCTGAAGTTTCAGATAGAATATCTTATGCTTTAACATTGAATTTAAAAGTAAAGAATCTGATGTTTAATATATAAAAATTCTTCCACTGTCCTTTCACTCATTGTCCGTTTTGCTTACGTTTTCTAATTCATGACGTCATTAAATCAAACATATGGATTGAACGGATTATTTTAAAC